CCCGGAAGGAAGATGGGGCAATCTACTTCCGTAGTGATACTGCCTCGGAAACCCAAGGAGGGGTCGCTATGAGTCGGGTCCAACTCGACGGCACATAACAACAACAACAATCCCTTGACATGGACTATCCAATTATTGCTTATAGCAACATTGTGAAGCAGGAATTATTATTTGACATTTACAACTTGAATGAGAAAACAGAGCCATGGAGAAAGGATGTATATACAGCTAGGTAGAGATGAAAACAGGCAGTAAACTCATGTAGTTCACTACAACACCTGTATCATGGTCTCCTTCAAATGAAAAATTATGTTGAGTACTGAACAGTAGATGTTGCAATAGAGATATGCACTTGTGCTAAGTAGGGGGAAGTCTCAGGGATAGTTTCATAGGGGAATAGGGTGAACTTTGTGCAATGAGGGCAGAGGCTTGCGAAGACTCAGAACTATATACTTAAGGTCAGATGTGACCACCTAAGTAGCAAAAGTGAAGAAGCTTTTTCTTTCAAATTTGGCTGTGTTCCAATCCAGAGTATTAAGTTAGGAAGAACATAAGAGGTAGACCTAAAAAAGAGCAGACAGCTCACAGGACTGAGAAAGAGCAAACAGGGGAGGGACAAAAAGAATCGAAGACTCACAGAGGAAAATGGAAGAGAGAGAGAGAGTTTCCAGGGCCTACTGAATTTTGCAATTAGGTCTTCATTATTAATCACAAAAGCTATTATGTTCTTCATGCCAGGCAAAGATCACATACATGATCTCATTTAATCCTCATAAACACCCTTGAAGTGTATGTTTTTATCTGCAAAATAGTTCTGGGGATAGCTAAGGGCAAAATTCGAACTGCAGTGGGTTGAGAAGTGATTTAATAGGGAAAATGTACTCTGTATTTGGGATACATTTGGGAATAAGGGATTGAGCCCCCTACTAAAGGCAAGCCTGGGTATGGGTCACATGAGAACTGTTTTCTAATTTCATGCAAACAAAACGCTAAAAGGAGAAATGGAGACATAGAAACCCAGTAAGGGCCACTTCCCCACAGGGGAACAGACAGACATTAACTAAGTTTTCTTGCACCCAGATAGCATGAACTGTCACACTGAAACATCAGTTTAAACGTGAATTTCATTACTAGTAGTGTAGTAATTAAGAGCCTAGGTCCAGGAGTCAGAGTTACTGAGTTTGGAGCACAGCTCTGTCACCTCAGTTGTATATCCTTTGCCTCAGTTTCTTGTAAAAGGGTGTTTGTTGTGAAATTTTTTTTTGAATAATACATATGAAAAATACAGCATGAGTGCTTAGGGCATGACAGTGTAGGTTAGAGTGTTAGCTAGTGAAGTCTCCATTTTGCAGCCAAGAAAAAAATGAGAGAGAGCCTCAGAGGTGGTGACTGTGAAAGCCTCCTGTGGACTCTAGGGTCTCAAACTTAGAAGCCCTTATGTTTCATCACCACTGCACCATCCTGCAGAAAACCTCTTGAGAGACTCTGAGAAAGAGAGAAAGGGAAAGAGAGGTGTTTATCTTGTGTTTGCTTTTTCATTTATTTGTTTTTAAGGTAGAAGAGATTCGTACATCTTTTTCTTCTTGAGGAAGATGAATAGGGCCAAACTGATAGTTCGAGAGGAAGAAATAAGTAAATTCCAAGAGGCAGGAAGGGATGGAAATGGGGCACAGGTGCAGAGGTCAGCAGCTTTGGTCAGAAGGCAGCTCAGGAAAGGGCACAAGGAGGGGGTTCCCAATGTGACTTTGTTTGGGATATGGGGGAGGGGAGGCAAGGAGAGCAGAAAGAAGCCAAAAAGAAACTTCGTTTCCTCTGCCCACCTGCTTGACACAACCATTTTTTAAGATATTTAGAAGATAATAATAACACCTCTCCAGTACTTTCTTTCTTCCTTGATCTTCTTTTCCCAACCACCCGCCTGTACTTCTTCTTTTCCTCCCCCTACTGGTTCTTTGGTTACCTCCCACTTAGCTTTTCTCTCAGCTATAGCCAGATCAGAGCTGCCTACGAGGGCGAGGGGAAGACTGTGGACTGTACAGATCAGCCAGAAAACGACAACGAAGTCTCAGCCTCTCCCTCTCCCTGTCTCGCTCGCTCTCTCGCCTGCCACCCCCCACCTCCCGCACGCGCGCGCGCGCGCGCGCAAACACACACACTCACCCATACAGACACACGCACACACACGCAAACACTCAAAACTCCGACAGGCCATACCGCGGCTCCTGCAATCCCTGGAAAAGGCGAGCGCCTCCAGAACCGCTGTGCGCAGCCACGCTTCGCCACTGCGCCCAACGTCAGTGCTGGTCCTCGTCCCCAGCGCGGCTGCTCCTGTTGGGTGTTCCTGAAAATAAAACCAGGAGGGAGGGTAGAAACAGATCCTGAAAACACTCGGGCCACACACGCCGGGACCCTCAGCTCTCTCTCTCTCAGCTTCCAAGTGGAGTCGGCCCCCGCAGAGCCCCGCGGCAGTGAGGTTCGCGCAGTTGTCGAAGAGCCCACCTGCCGTTCTGCGCTCGGTGGCGCAAAAAACTGGAGCTTGTCGCTGTTCTGCTCAGACCATCTCCCAGGCTCTGAACGCTCTCTCCCCACCCCCCCCCTTTTTCTTTTTTTTTTTTTTTGGTTCAACCCGTGGCTCTGCAGTGGGGTCCTCGCTCCTCCAGAGAGTGTACTCCCGCAAGTCACTGAGCGGACGCGCAGCGCCGGGACCTAGCCATGGCTGGGGCGCTCAAGCTTCTCTATCTGTGGCTGGGGTGCTTCTGCGTGGCCCTAGCACAGGGAGAAAAACTAAAGCAGCATTTCCACGAGCTCCGCAAGGCTGTGCCCAGCGACCGCATGGCAGGTGGTGGCTCCGGTCCCGAGCTGCAGCCGCGAGACAAGGTGTCGGAACACATGCTGAGGCTTTATGACAGGTACAGCCGCGGCAGCAGGACCGAGGCGGTGCGGATGTCAGGTTCCGCAGAGCGGAGATCTGGGTCCCCGTGCCCCCAGCCTCTGCAGGAAGGCAACACAATTCGGAGTTACAGAGCCGGAGCAGCAGGTGAGTGCCCGAGGCGCCCCTATCCAGCTGTCCTGCCCTAGCTTTCTCCTGGACGCCACACAACTTCCTTGCCTGCCCTCAGCTCAATGGTGGTGCGCAGGCACCTTTTCCCACCCTCCGCGGCAACCCTCCCGGACCCCTCTGTGTAGTCCTGGCCCGCATTTCGCGAGCAGCGTCCGTGGTAAGCCTGGTTTTGGAGTCCGAAGTGAGAAAGAGTAGTGGAGATAAGGACGCGGAACAGTGGAGCGAGTTGGCTGGAGTATTTACTGGGAGAAAGGGAAGGATCGACACCCCATGCCCAGCGGAGGTCTCCTGCCCTGGGAGTCTCTAACACCCCTGAAGTACCTCATGGGGATGATTCCTAAATCGGACACCGGAAATTCCCATAGCCTGGGCTTTAGCCATGTTTATCCAGAGGCATATGCCATTTTATGCCAACCCTTTGGCCCCAGAGAGAGAAGTCACACTGGCCCTGGCTTTTAGATAGTCGCTTCTTCTTCGCATCTTACAGCCCTTCTTAACTCTTTTGGGCCCTCTGTGTTACTAGGTTTCTTTAACACATTGTACTTGATGGTCCTTGGTGGCAAGTACACAAAACCAGGTGCTTGGGTGTTACTATTTAAAACCCATCAAAGCAAAGAGGGGTTGTACCATCCACCCTGGGAGGAGCTGGGGGGGGGGGCGGCGCGCAACGGTAGTGGATATAAACATCTCTTGGAATCACTGATGAAAAGCTGCTCATCCCGATTTTCAACACAGATCACTACAGACTGAAATTCATGGCTTAACAAGGTTTCTGCTAACCCCTGTGGTGAAGCTTATAACTTATGCTAACAGCCTCCCTCTCTTGTGCTAACAGCTTGAAGGAAAGTTTCCTGGACACTAACTCTGTTTATATATTTTGAGGATGCACACAGTTTTTTAGTTCACTACATTCATGATAAAGGGAAGTGTAACTGCAAAGCCTGTCTTCAGTGAAACGTTGAAAAACAGCCAAGAATCTTCAAGTAAGGAGGCCAACCCTTGATGCTCCATCAATTCTGTCACAATCACTAAAAAGAAATCTCCCAGAGCTTTGATACGTAGGACTCCTGGGGAAAAAAAAAAGGAAAACTGAAGCATCCATCAAGGGAAGCCCTAGGTTGACACTGTAAATACACTCTAGAGCTCATAGGTATGATGACATTTACAATAAATATGAATTATGGTTTCTAATGCAGAAGTCTGTAGCTAGAGTCTGAGCTGAACCAGATTTCATTTTCTTCTTAAAACCATGATCATGATCTGTGAGGACCCAGCCCCACTAAGGAGACAGAAACCTGCTTTGGGTTAACCATAGCATCCAGCCACTTCATGAGGCTGTCCTGACAGCTGACCACACCAGTGAATGCTGTTTACTTTATTGCACCTTTGAGGCCAGAGCTCAATGAAGGAACAGTGAGGAAGCAGGGATTGGAAGGAAATTGGGTGAAGATACTTACTCATATCACTCCTACCCTGATACTCATTTTCTTGGAAATAGCCCTTGAGGGTAACTGGGACACCCAACAGTATTTATTTATTGTTTTCTGTATCAATAAGTTTTATTTTTAGTATGAATCATGTGGTTTGGAGGTAGAATTTGAATTTGTATTATTCATACACATTGTACAGGTTTTTCTTGTTTGTTTTCGGCTGAGTGAACCAAGACTGGGAGATTGATACAGATTTGTATTATTTAGCCACCATATCCCCATTGACTTCAGTTCATTTACTGCTTTATAATTTCAATGTCCCTTATCAGCCTTACTGTTGCCTTATGTCATCAAATAATAAACTCTGATATTTAGACCAGACATCCCCTTGAAATTAGAAATTTCAGTTTGAGGCATATACAAGTGTGTGTGCCCTGATAAGAGAAGTAATTCTTTTAGCATCCTAGAGACTATCCTAAGTGACAAATAGGAAAACAAATAGTAAGACATGCCCCAAAGTCCCATTGTTTTATCCTCTGTATTTTTCAAAGATTAATGACTTATTCATCAAATGTAGACACTGGTTTTTGTGGAAGCTTAAGTGTCATGTTACCACATTGGAGACTCCTGGAGAGGTGGTTGGTGTTGGAATGCTTCCAAGAGTGTTTAGTTACTAACACATTAAAAAGAACTTGTTATAAGGCAGTTCTGGCTCTAATAAGGCAGGACTCCAGGAAGGTGCATAGGCTTTCATGTTTGTGTCTCCAGCTTCATCCATAACAGCATTTCCATAACATCCTTCACCTTATGACATATGTTCTGATATAGGTAAAAGATACTTTCTTCATTAATAAATTAGTTTTGTTTTCTAGCCCAACGTGTTTAGGTTTCACAACATATGGGCTACTCTATTCTCTGCACCAAAGATGTTACAGATTTTAATAGCAGGCCAAGGGGTGGGGTTTAGATAGGAGTGGTTGCTGATCCGGCAGAGTTTCAGAGTGCTTATCCAGGCTAAGCTATGGCCTTACAGCCCTGTTTGCTCCTTGGAATGTACCTGATTAAAATTATTTATTGTTCTAAACCTAGAATATCTTTGGTTGAAATTTAGCTCATGTGGTCTCCCTCTGATTACTTTCTACTTAAACCATTACTTGATGGTGGGTGGCATTCATCCTAAATACACTTTCTGCTAACCCCTTTTCTCCTCCCTTAACGTTACTCAGTTGGTGTGCCAAAACCGTAATTTGGAGCACTTACATTTTTTTTTTTTTTTTGTAATATGTATGGGCTCACATAAAGATAGGTTGTATTTTACCCTTTGTAAAGTTAATTCACAAAAATATTGATGACAGGGTATTCCACCCTTATAAAAACACACTATCTTGGAGGAAAACGAGAGGGATATGAAATCAGTATTTATTTCAATCTTGGTTTAAGAGATTGTCCTTGGCTACTATTTAATAAAAGAAGAATAGTTCGCAGAGGTTGTCTCCTATTTTGATCCTTTAAGACAAATGAGTTATGTTCATTACGTTCCTGTCATTCCCATGGTCACTTAATTTTTTTAATCGTAAAATGAAGTTCTATAGGAAATGATTTAAAATACATGTGTTGTTATGAAGAAACTACCACTATTTTAATTTATGACATATAAATACAAAAGACTACATTTCAGTGGATATGCGATGCCTTAAAAAAAAAAAAAAACAACTTTGTAGGTAAAAGGAAAGGAAATTGAAGTGGTCTAAATCCACAAGTGAATATTTCCCTTAAATGCAGAAAGAGGGATTCTTTCCTACCATGAACTAAAACACTTGAAAGTAAATAATTATTATTGTGATGTGTTTATGAAGCACATGGCTGAAATATAAGGTTTTGGAAAAGATAATATGTAATTAAGGGCTGAATGATTGTGCCAATGTCAACCGTGTGCCAGTGGGAAATAATCATTTTTGATGGGCTCAATGGTAAGAGGATATAATAACTCTATGAAGACAGAGTTACCGTGAAATGCCTGGCACCTAGAAACTAGGTTTGAAATGAAATCGTGCTCTGATTATCTAATGTTTTTGTCTACAGGACAATAGTACATCTGCAGAGGGAGTGCTGGATGAGCAGCTGCTTTGAATTATACACTACTTTGAATGCATGATAGCCCTTAATGAAGTTTTTACTGTAATAGGCAAGACAACTTTATAATCTCTGACATTTAAAAATCCATAATACCATGAATTCTTGATTATCTTGCTAATGGAAAGGAGAAAGAGAATAAATTATATAAATAATAATTTAAATTTAGCTTTGTAGTATAGTTAGACATATTCAAAGATACCAAGAGATCATAAAGGTCAATAAAAAAAAAATCCCCTAAGCAGATAATTTACTCAGGGAATATGTGTACATATAGCTAAGAATAACTAAAAGGCTTACATACATTTTATCTAGGCATGGAATTTCATAAGCCCTTGATTGACTGACTTCAGATTTTCCTAAAAATTAAATAGGTGCATGAATGTCAATTCTGCTTTTAAGCAAGCACTTTAGAATTGTAGAATGTTTATTATTATTATTCTCTATTTTGAAGAGGCTTTGAAGAAAGCAAGCCCAACCCCTTTCTTTTATGGAAAAAGACATGGGCATCCTAATGTATTTTTGAGACAATTTGTCAAGCATACTGAGGTCATATCACTATTAATTTTTATTAGCCTGTCTAATATTCTAGGAGAAAATTTCACAAAAAGAGGTTTTAGAAGACGTTAAAAGGTATTATATAAAATTGTGTTCTATGCTCAGATAAGTTTGGAAATACTGGGTTATAGCAAAATGATCAGGTTTCTTTGCTATGGGACATTTTATGCTCTTGAAATGCTAGTGAATTCTCTTAAGAGGGGAGACTTTTCTCCCCAAAAGAGTATTTTAGAGGATTGGCTTCTGAGATGTCTACTTAGGGAAACACTGATTTAAAAGGTTCCTAATTTAGCATGAAAGATGTGAAGAATTCAAAGTTTTCTTCAAAACTTGATACTTTTGTTTCTTAGAACATTAGAAGGGAGTCATGCTTTACCACCTTGAAAAGACTATAAAAGAAGATTGTATACAGGGTTTTGCAATCTAATTACTGACTAGGTGATTTGAAAAAGTTATGGGAGTAATTGTGATGGTGACTCTTAAAACTAAATACACAACTGGATACTGTTCATTTCTTATTTCTCATTTAGTATGTATCTAAGGGTGTTTACTGTTACTTGTTCGGGTTGGCACCTTGCCAAAGGGACAAGACAGTCACATCTTCTCACCTTCTCTAACCCCATGAGCAGAAGACAGAATCACCATCAGTAGCCCAAGGCCTATCCCTGTGAGGCCAGACATGCCACCTCCCTCCAGTCCTTTCACCAACCCTGACACCAATTGTTCCTCCCACAGCACCCACCACCTCTCTACTGGATTCGATAATTTGCAACAGTGGCCACACAGAACTCATAGATTATGGGGTTTATTAGGGAAGAAACAGGCTACGATTGAAGTTCAGGAACACGCTCAATC